TCTCGCGGGTCTATTAGGTGCCTATTCATCATCGCTGCCTACGAGCCCACAAACTCTAACGATGATTCGGTAAAAAGCGACTTCTAGTCCCAACTGATCGAGCTCCTTCGCCACAGAAGAAACACGGACACTGTTGTGCTGGCTGGGGATCTGAACGCACAAGTTGGAAAGTTGTCCACTGATGAAATGCATCTGAAAGGTCAGTACGGTGTAGGCTCCTGTAATGATAACGGTGAGCAGTTACTTCATCTGTGTGAAGATGCCAGCTTATTTCTTGCGAGCACTAATTGCCGACATAGCACTCGCCGGAGGATGACTTCGTGCCCACCAACCTCGAACCTAGCTTGGACGCAAATCGATCACATTGCTATCAGTCACCGCTGGAGAGGCTGAATCCAGAACTGTCGCTCGATTTGGAGCACATTTGTGGACACCGACCATCCACTTGTATGTGCTGACATGCGGATGCGTGTTGACGGACGCCCACGACGACGCTGTGAGTGCATTGCTACCAGCCAACTGACAAAGCCAGCTGTTCTGAATGCCCATCAAATTAGGCTGACATGCGATTTGAGCAAACGCTGCCTGGAGACAGTTGAAGGTCACTGGTCGCATATTCACCAGACCTAACTAGCAATAGGCAATTCCTCATGTGGTAAGTCTACTCGCCAACATAGACATTGCGTCTCTTCGCGGTCTCTGGAACTTATCGATGCTCGCCGGCATATTCCGACTAGAAGCAAACACAATGAAACTCGCAAAGGGCTCGGTGCAAAACTCCGTGCTAGCCTGAAGACAGAGCGCGAATCATGCTGGTCTCTTTGTGCGTCAGAGATGGAAATGGATGCTACCTTTAGTAAACATCGAGAGTTATTCTGTCTGATCCCGGAAACACGCAGTAGGAAACTTGGTGTTAGTGAAACACTTTGTGACGAGAGTAGACAGCCACTCCACAATTTGTCAAAACGTTTAGAGGGTTGGGCTGAGCATTTTGAAAAGCAATTTCAGCGGCCGGAATTGTACGATCCCTCACCGGCCAGTGATCGCCCCGCTCTCTTGGTTGTCCATTTAGATCCGCCTTCTCGCTCAGAAGTCAATCGTGAGATCGGACTGTTGAAGTTGAACAAAGCCGCGGGACCAGATGATCTTAATCTAGCTCTTCTCAAATTCGGAGGCTCTGCTCTTATTGATGCCTTACATGAATTACTAGTGAAACTGTAGGAGCAGGAAACTGTCGCATCCGCTCCGTTATTGTTCCCATCTTCAAAGGAGGGTCGCGTTCGGAATGCGGTAACCATAGAAGAATCAGTCTGATCCCCATCGCCTCCAACTTGCTTGCCACCGTAATCCTTCACAGACTGACTGGTGCTCGTGAAAGCCATTTTCGTGAAAAGCAAGCCGGGTTTCGTCGAGATCGTGACTGCATTCACCACATGTTCACCTTGCGGTAGTTGTTGGAGCATCACTACACCTAGTGGCGGCCCACCGTAGTCGTGTTCCACGACATCAAAGGTGCCTTCGATTTGGTTGCTCAATGTGCCCTTTGGAACTATCTACTCAGGAAAGTTGTGCCCGAGAATTATGTAAATATTATCCGATCATTATACGCGCGTAGCACGGGCAGAGTGAGGGCTTGCGGCAAACTGTCGTCGCCCTTCAATATGTCCAGTAGTGTGAGACAAGGATGCCCGTTGTCACCTTTCCTCTTCAACTTCGCAGTTGACGAAGTCATGGAAATCGCGTTCACAGGACACAAATTAGGTGTGGATCTGCTCTCAAGAGAACGACTTCCTGACTTGGAGTATGCAGACGACATTGACCTCATCTGGGACAGCTCCGAGACGTACCAAGTGGCACTAGACAGATTATCATTGGCTGTCAGCCGCTTCGGGTTTTGCTTTGCACCATCAAAGTGCAAAGCTTTCCTCCAAGATTGGTAGGGATCGCCTCCTGCGCTGACCCTTGGTGGGGATCAGCTAGAAGTCGTTCAGAAATTCAACTACTTGGGTAGTTATATCAGCGCCCGTGGGATTGAAGAGGAAAGCACGAACCGTATAGTAAAAGCTCGAGGTGCTTTTGCTAACCTTCGCCACTTATGGCGCCTGCGCAACATCACTCTCTCCTTGAAGGATAGAGGGTTCGACGCAGCGGTATGTTCGACCTTATTGTACGATTTTGAAACCTGGCCCCTTAGATTAGCGGACATAAAGTGGCTAGTTACCTTCGAAAGTCGGTGCCTTCGCAATTTGGCCCACATCTGGCGATAAGACCGCGTGAGTAACGAGCGTGTTCGACGCCTTGTTTAGAACACAGGAAAAGGAACTGAGGCGCGCAAAACCGTCATTTCACACACCATGGTCCGATGGATCGGCCACTTGTTACGCATGTCAACAAACCGACTCGCGCGACTTGCGTTGTTTTCTCCCCCGGGGGGGGCTAGATGGAAGAAGAGGAGCAATATCCAAGCGATGACTTGGTCAAGAGAAATTAAGGCCCTTACTTCGAAGTTGGCCTCGGTTGGAGCTTCACGGCTCCCTGGTCAAGGTCCAAAAGAAGATGAACACGTTTGGCTAGATACACTTGCTGACCGTTAGGTGCCGATCTCAGTGGCATTCCTGCTGTGAGTTTCTTTGTCCCTCCCTATTGCATTTAGCCTCTCCTCCAGCCGCTATCTCGTTTCGTACCGTAATATAGTTTTACATTACTTTTCTTGTTGCCTAGTAGCCGGCTGATAGCTTTCCGCAATGATGTTCGTCCGTTTCTGGTAGCTCAGCTGGCATGCAACTGTTGTAGTTATTTTTTTTCTTTTATTTATTGCGGTACAGTAGCTGAGGTGTTTTACACCTCTAGCTAACGTATAGAATAAAGATGATGATGACGGTAAAGTGAAACCGGTTCTCAGTTGACTATAAATATGCCCTGCCGAAATCGCTATGCAGTGTCATGTGATGGTCCACTGTCTTGATGTCATGACAGATTTTGACCTCATCTGGAAATAGTAGGAAGTTCGACTGGAGTGCTCTAACAAGATTTTTATGAATTCTAGGAATAGATCTCGTCCTAGTACCGATCCTTTGAGTACAATACATTGAACTTCAATTAGGTAAGAAATATTTCTGGGACTCTCACATTCATCTAGCATTGAATGAACTTGTTCATCCAACGTAGGACAAGGTCATCAATTCCATAGGTTCGATTTGTGTGAGGGAGAATGCATTGGTCCAGGTAATCGAGCACTTGTAGAAAGTCTGAACAGAGGACATTGTCTCTCAATCTGGCATCGACTGATCCCGTCCAGCTTACTTTGGCTAGCAGCAAGTTTGTAGTGCAGGACCGATTTCAGCGGAATCCGTGCTACTGTGACACGCATTCGAGGACAATGCTCAATAATCAGAAGTTGCTAGGTTTTCCGAACTTACAAAATGATCTCATTGGTATGGTTTTTCTGCAGAAGACGTATTAAAGCTAGCCGAACAACCTGTTCGTGGTGCCAATTGGGTGATTCTGGTGTAACCCGTTCCAGAAAATAGTTCGGCGGCAGTGTTCCAGGACGTGGTGGGTTTTTGCTTGCCAAGCATTCTCTCTATAAAAAGCCACAAATGTCTTTTTATCAACACTGTGACGTGGCGAATGTGATGCGCCACAAACTAAATTTACTGCCCCGTGGGTATCTGGATAAGTACATCCAATCCACGGACACCAATCGCCTAGTCTTACATCGACGACTCTGTAAAACAGTCAGAAATACAACGGAACACAAGCTACAAAGCTACGCAAATGCATACTTACATACACATCCATGCATACATTTACTGTTATAGCAAACATGCTGTATTTTTGTACATTTTTGTTCACACTTTGTTATCATAACATAATCATGCCTGTAAAGGCTTGCCGCGCGTTACCGAGCATAAAAAGTTTGTTTATTTAGCTGATGGGATGGCCCCCCGCGCTATCGCCCCCCCTCCGATTGTGGCACATATCGCTATTTTTGTTCCGTAGGCTTCATACCAGTAATGGTGTACGACGTGGGCTCACACCTGCGAGTGACTTATTATTCATTGGTGTCAAGTCACCTAATCATTGGTCCGATAGTGAGCTATGGACCCTGTTGTTTGTGTACAGTAATGCAAATAAAAGATATTGGTATAGAATAAGTGAAGAATGTATACGTTGAACAGACTATATGATGGTGATATGAATATGAAGCTGAAGTACCGATAATTGTATTCTCTGAAATAAACCATTGCTGAGCTTAACGGAGAAAAATATCGTGGGGACTCACAACATGAATGTGGCTGAACAACCATGATGCCGCGACTTTACGCTCCCGCGACGAATTATATAAGGATTGAAATATAGGACAGCCCGGAGGGTGGCTGTGGTCCGGTGGAGTTTAGTAGGTTCCTCTGGAGCATGGGCGCGTCGCCGAGATTAAGCTTTGTGAGGGTACGCGAGTGCATTTTGATTCTGGCTTGGACGTTGGGTATTTGGTTTTCACATTCGGGTTGGTGGTGTGATTTGTGTGACATTTGGTTGAATATTCGGAATGCTGGATGTATGCTCAATTATGATGGTGACTCGTACCAGTTAGATTAGCGGCTGTTATCTCTTCGCCTCTCGCGTTCGTATCAACCTTATATCAACTGATTTATCTATTCTGCGCTTCATCTCTATTCAAGCGTCATTCACGCACGCGTGTATGCATTTCCTATGTTGGATCATCTCGGTGGAAAATAAAAGAGGTAGCGCGCTATTCGGGTCTAGCGGCTATACCTTTGGTCACACAGTTTGGAACCGCGTTTCGTTTTTGTGCTGGAAGTACGTATGTTGGGATGGTGGGCGGATAGGTACCAGGTATAGTTGGTTGGAACAGATGCAGGCATTATTTTAGCGAGGGAGGAGACTCGAAACTCGATCTCAGTGAGGTGTCTGCCGTATTTTGGGTTTTGGGCGTGGGTTTGCATATGTTATTTGCTGTATTCTAGTCCCTAACTTGCTTATGGGTAGAGCAAATTAGGGGAGGGGTGTGGTGGGGGGGTGGGCGGGGGGGGGTTAGGAGGGCGGGGTGGGGGTGGGGCCTGGGGCGTTGGGTGGGGAGGTGAGAGGGCTAAGTGGGGAGGGGGGGACTCCGGTGGGGGTAGGGGGGGGGGGGAGGGGGGGCGTGTGAGGGGGGGGGATCGGGTGATGAGTGGTCTGGGGGCGCAGGGGGGTGGGGGCGGGAGGGCGGAGTGTTTTGGCTTCTTTTTTTTTTTTTGTTGTTTTTGTTTTGTTTTGGTGTGTTATTGCTTTGAAACATTTCCGGCTCGATGGTTTGTGAGAGGGCAGTATGTCCGCCGCTAATCCATTCTAAAAAACGAAAGTTTCAAATGGAACAATGGGCTTAATACGGATTAAAAAATTTTTTATAAAAAAAACACCCAAGGCCTGAAGGATAGAACGGGGAGACAAGGTCTATTGGGGATAGTTGTTTTGTGAGTGGTTAATCAGTCCTAAAATGTTCGCATATTGTGTGAACAAATACGCATCCGTGGGTTTCACCTACTTATACCCTAATTAACACGAAGAGATTTTTCCGTCTATCCCCCCCCGATATTTCGCTCGTACTTCTACGCAGTATAGGGGGGTATTGGTTTAGTACCCACATTTGGTCGCGGAGTGCATCAAGTCCGTCCCTTCATTGATATAGAAATACCGGGACGGAACAGTTAATTGAAGGTGAATGGTAAGTGTTTATCTAATTTTGGTTATAATTGTTTTAAAGAGAAGAGTAGCGTGGGTTGGCTCCTGCCGTCCCGCCCCCCTCCCTGCTGACCGCTCTGCGGGAGCGATATGAACCAAGTTAGAAATTAGGTTCCAATATTGGGAAAAAAACCTTACTATCTCCAAAGGAAAAATTCATCCGGGCAGGGTGAAGGGATGAATTCGATGCCTACTATTAGTGTTCCTGCGGCGTTGCGGTCGTGTGCTTAGTTTTCAACGTATGACTCCTCTAATTTTCCGCGTTTGCGGAGCCTATGGTTCAGGGTTCTGTTGGCGTGGAACTGAACCGGGGTATTTCAAAAATCTTGAAGGCTAGGTATTAGTTCAACCAATAGTGCGGATCGGGCAGTAGGGAGCGGGTCGGCTGTCGTTCGCCGTTTTTTGCTTAAAGGCGTGTTTAAAGGGCGGGGTGTGGTGTTTTGCGTCCTGTAGGTTTGCACACGCCCACGCCGCTGTACAGACTCCCAGGGCACAGTACAGTTCCTACCTATCCGTCGATATTATTGAAGTTGACGACAAAAACTTCACCATTTTCGTATTTGCCAATTTTCGCTGGGGCCGGTGACACGCCACTCATCGCCCGGGCGCGCATGCCCACTCGATTCGCGTTCTATAACCACCAGGAAGACGGCAAACTTTGAGATGATGCCGCATTATGTATAGCCGCACTTTACTTGGGGATTTCTCGCATCAATCATTTGAGCATCCTGAAGGAAGATGGACGGTACGAACTGCTCTATCTACACTATGTGTTCTCATCTCGACGGTTTTAATTCAACCGAAAGACATTCCGATTGCTTACGTGAGTGAGGCATCATATAAAAACGCCTTCACTGTAACGCTCCACCGAATCCAAAGCCAGCAGAAACCAAGAAAATTTATCTCCTTGATACTCCTGCCTTTCATTCACCAGTATAAAGCAGTAGTGATCGAAACAGGTGTAACAGCAGAAACAACTTGATAACGCCGCCTCCTAGCTCACCCCACACCTGCGCAGCCCCGCTTAACCAAACATTTTCCTCCTACTCTTTTTTATGGGAAGTGGGGATGGTTCCGCAACTATTCCTAATAAGAACATTTCAGACGGATGCCAGTTAGAGGTCACCACTCCTTATGCAATTTTTGCAGATGACACGACTGGCTCAGCACCACACCAGTCATTATTTGTATTCAATGTCCCAGCTACAGTGGCACAGGGGACAAAACCCAAATGGATGAAGCTGATCTACCGATCGATGTTCGAAGGCCACGATCTTCACCCAGACTAATAGAACGTTACATTTTACAACCAAGAATTTATCTGCCACTTGAAGGGAGCTTACGGACATCCACAACCCATGCGTCATTCTACACCCATTAACTACGCGCGCCCAACCACATGACTATAGTGCATTCGTTGACTTGTCTCTGTTTCTCATTAGTTCATTCGGTCCTATATGTTTTCGCTTGACTCCGCTTAGGAGCAGATTACAGGTTCACAGGTACCATCCGGCGCTGATGTTTTTCCTACGTCTAAACGGACTACGGGTCCATACACGGATTAGGAATATACGATGGGTACGTAAGACTTATAAATCGAAAGCAGGCAGTACAAATACAAGAATACAAATCTGAGCCTACACCAGTCATCAGTAGCGTAATGCAAGGAAGTGTTCTTTGGCTGCTATTCACCTTAATATTTATTCACCATAACCTCGACATAGTGAAAGTCGGTACGCCATACATGTTTGCCGATGAAATTAAAGTCGTATATATGTTCCGTCAGGATTGCTCTAATGATGCTCTCCCGGTCACCCAACGTGACCTCCATGCGTTTGCAACGTAGTGTTCAAAGTGCGAAAGGTCTATATCTTCTAACGAATGTTGCGCAATGTCTCACAACTGTGATTTGATTCATAGCAGCCTGGCTCTTGATGGCAAACTACTAAATCTATGTCCTACGGTAGGAGAACTGGGATTGCCATATTCATACTCACTTGACTTGTGTGAAAAAGTAGGCTATGTCCTCGCAAGAGTAAGACAAAAAATCGGATCAGTATTCAGAATTTTTGCCATGCATGAATCAGTGTTTCATGCTTACATCCCAGTTGTTCGACCCAAGCTGTAAGATTGTTCAATGGTGCATAGCAGCTCAACGTATGGAGACCGCGTCGCACTGGATCACGTAGACAGAGCATTCACAAAGCGCCTCCTTGGGGCTTCTTCAAAACTGGAATATTCTTACGATGTGATAAGCTCAAGGTTGATCCGCTCTGGCTACGGCTCGTGAAGCATAAGTCATTCTTCTAATACTTCCAAAGAAATGTACAGGTTTCCAACCTCAACATGACATTAATGCAATCAGCAGTCCACAACACACGAAGCAAACGGAACTCAGTGGCGGTAAGCAAGTCCAGCGCAAACGGATCTGTAAACATGTTCCTTAACAGTTGCGTCAGAGTCTGGAAAAGGCTACCGCTCGGAATAGGTGCTTGCACTCTTGTACAGGAATTTCGCAAAAACACCAACAAGTTCTTGACTGTGCAGTACCTGATTCAACTGTTTGATCGTTCTATGACAACAAGCTAAACGTACGTGCATGGTCCGATTTTCATATGTTTCACACCATACTATCTCCTATGATCTAGCAGTTTTACATGTGAGAGAACGGTTAAAAGCGAATCGACATCATTGCAATTCACTTTACTATTTAGTATCTCTTCGGTATCCTTCCAGTCGTCATCAGCTGATCTGATATACCACATTGCTGATCCAACTGCGGTCAATATTCTGTAAAAGTATGCACTTACCTGACAATGCCGATACAGGTGCGGTTCGAATCGCGACGAGTAAAAGTTGATTTATTCATGTTAGAAAACTTCTTTTCGCCTCTGTTTGATCCTTACTGACTCCGTAATCATTCTAGCCGTAAGCTCCCAAAGGTGTGACTCTCAATTGCAAACTGCACATAGTTGTTGAACTAAAACACTCATAACTAAATCTATTTGGATGGAGGATAACTTCCAGTTATATACTCTACGGTGTTTTCGTCCTTCTGGGGATTGTCAGTAGTGTGTACCAGATTTATGTGCAACAGTCTGGGAACCGTGATCCAGTGACTTATAGGTGGAGCATTAGCTCCTCCTGTTTCCGCGAGAACCCGTTTCGACAAACTTTGCTTCCCTTATGCTCCCAGTCCCAACTAAACTCAGAGCTCAAGGAACTGATGCAGAAGCGAGCTACACGACCATCTACCGAATGGGTTCAAGCAGTGTTACAACCGACGGGTATTTGTGTGCAAACCAAGGAATGTCTGCATAACAGAACAGTTGGGTTAGGTTAACAGTTTAATCACCTTGGACCAATGAAGAGGTAGGTGCACATGCCACCTGGTAAATCAGAATGTTCTTGAAACGAATTGATGCTTTGGAAGCACACCATTGGCTTAAATCGCGTTCTCTTTGAAGTGATGAGCCTATCTGGGAGCTTTTACTTTATCCCGGACACAGACAATGGTTGGCACCGGTAGCTTACATAGTAGACTTGTCCTGAAGCACACAGTGTGCGTACAACCACCACACCATGTGGAAGCGTGATAGCGTGGTGGCGTCAGTCAAACTAACCCAGCTACTCTGAATAGGAATTACATACCCCAAGTCATTGGCTGCATGCGCCCAGGGTAATAAAAACGAATACCTTTTTGGAAGTTTACTATCACTGATTGTCGTATGATAAAGAGATAAAGAGATATTTACCTGGGCAGTGTGGCCAAGGTTGCGAAATCCTCCACTCCAGAAAGCATGTTGTCATCCAAATGGAGAACTTCTAATCTTGCAAATCGATATGTACATTCCCTGATACATAGATAATAATAGTGAATGGCATGCTAATGCATCCTGGAATATTTCCAAGCAACTAGATTTTGTTTGACAACATGCTGTGTTGCGGGATTCAGCAGCATGATTAACGAAACAAAAATCTCTGTGGCAAAGAATTTGGGGGCACATTGACAGTTGAAAATTAAAATACAAAGTCATTGCTCCCGAAGCCGGTAGCCTACCGATAAAATTGCCTACGGGTATCGATTTAATACCTGACCCACCTATCGTTAGCTAAAGAATCTAAAGAACGGTGAAACCAAGTGGACAAACAGCAATAGTTCAGCTCTAGCAGTTTGCGAAGGGAAATTGCTACATTCACTCACTAACAAACACATCTTAACTATAACAAACTTCGCGCCTGAACTGAATCTAGAAGGCGCTTGTATTGCGCCTAATTTGGATTAAGTATCAGTTGCCTTCACAATATGAGAACAGCACCTCCGCTCCTTGTATTGTTTCATTGTACTTCTATTGCGCTCTATTGGCTGCACCTGGTGGCCAACTTGTCAAACAAGCGGTTATGTGATGTAAGCGAGGTAGAAATGAACCATTTAAAGTTTCCGCTCCGTAACTGTTTTGTTTACTTACGTCATTGTCCATGTACTGGAGTCCGCCGAACAAACTTCTTAGGTATTCATTCGACTACGTTTCACCGACCACCTTTGGTTGATTGTGGATGCTCAAACACCTCTGGTCGAGCGACCTGGTGACTAGATAGACGTTTCGCGAAAATCTGTTTGTTCTGTTGTTGCTCATTGGATCACCATCCTTGTATGATCGGATCAACGATTTCGTACACGTACATCATTTTTAACTCGGCCCGTGCGTTCGCATCCGGAACCCGCATAAACAAATCTATTATACAGTTGTGCTCCAGAGGTCACTGTTTGTGTGTGGTAGTGCTGGTACAATAAACCAGCCACCTTTAACACATATAAGATGTCATGGGTGAACCACAGTTGGCTAGTCAAATTATCAAAATGCATACACAGACGCTTTGCAAACAATCGAGCTCAATTATAACTGTGAGACTTGAGTAACCATGTTTTATACGTCAGAACATTCGATGGAAAGCAACATATTACCAAAATCACAATTGCTGGTAAAACCACTTGCATTCCTATTCATATGTGACGTACCCCTTCTCGTCTGTGCTCTGTATGGTCATCTTGTCTGATAATTTTGTCAATCCGTTACCCGTCAATGACAACTGAACCAAGTTTGGTAACACACCGAGCCGTTCAATTGCCTCTGGTCCGTTGATGAAATTGTAGGAGAGATCCAAACACTAGTATCAGGCAATACAAACGAATTTTAGCATCCGGAATGGTAGTGTTTCAGCAAAGTATTTCGGTCGAAAGACAAACAAAGTTGAAACAACTACACCAATCCTTTTGTTAACTACTTACCATCATTGTTTGTGCCTTCTGAATTATCTACATGGTTTGGCCCTAAAAGCTCGGCCGGTGGCCGAGTGGTCTGCAAGTCTGGCCTGCAGTCATAAGCTCACCAGTTCGAACCCGCTTAAGCGCGTGGGAGCCCCCGCGGTATACTCAGTTCGCGCGCGATTGGCGGTGGTTGCGCGGAGGCAAAGCGCCGTTACGGCGTACAGTTGACGATTTATTTTTGTTCATTTTATGCGCTAAAGTGCCGCAGAATTTAACAGGTAAACTTGTATAGAGTGGTTTAGCAAACTCGCTCTATTACGGGGAAGTTCGGCGTTTTCTGAAAAATTTTATGCAAGTGAATTGCATAGTATGGTAACCACCGAATAAGTAGACCATACGCTGATCAGGAGCAAAGGTGACTTGTTATTGTTCAGTACACTTCACCTGGCATAATTAGTCATCCTGAGTTGAAGATTGTGTAACAACTCGCTGTAACGTTCGGACTGCGTTTCTGCAATTGAATCTAATAAACATTCTGCGGTTGAAATCTGAAGAGAAAATCAACTTAAACGAACAAGCGAGTAACATTAGAATTATCCTAAAGCCGAGTTAAGAGCCCTAAGCGACTAATCTAGTAACCACATCATGTCCGATGAGGTTGCAATTGGCTATGAAACCTGGTTTCTCCGCTCTATCGAAGATGTTGTTTTCAATTGGAAGCGGATTTTACAATGCCATCCGTGGACCACCACAGCGTTTCACTGAACGGGATGCAAAATCGGCATAGGTTCACACACGGAGGTATGCGTTTGGTAGACGCTCGGATAGCGCGACACAGTATGGATGGACGATTCTCCTTCTACATGCAGTTCGATGAGTCAGGATGAGGTCTGCTGCACCGACCGGTGAACGGCAGCATATCCCTTACTCGGTGGTCTCACCAGGTACGAACAATCCGCATGATTGCCTGCGGTCAAACAACTTTGCGCCCTCCCTAGCTCAACGCATGCGTTCACTACGCCGGACTCCGCCCCGTGTACAGACTAGAGATGTGCAAATGCACAGCAGACGCTCTACCTGCAGGCACGTCTTCCTCCGCACCGACGCAGTGCGGCGCCCTCTCCAGCCTCCCTACACTGGCCCTTTCAGAGTTCTGCAACTGACTCCGAAACATTTTACTTTAGACCAGAATGGTCGCCGAACAACGGTGTCCATCGACCGCCTCAAAGTGGCCTTCTTTGACGAGCCACTTGCAACCCATCCTGATGATATTACACAAGCACGCGCACCTGAGGTGACTTCCCGAGCAATGGATAGCCCGAAATCCTCCGTTCCCCTTGACCAGTAACCTACCCCGCCTCAAACCCAGGTAACTGACCGACGTGGGATACAGGTCAAACGTCCGTTCTGTTTTTCAAATTTTGTAAACGTTTGCTATTTTCATTAGCACTCCATTTTCCTCGTTAGTAGTTATCGTGCGTTTTGTTCATAAAGGTGTCGCAAAATAGACAAAAGCTCAAAACATTTTGAGAACCTATAAAGCGCAGTTGCTTTTATCATGCATGCCGTGTATCCTCCGGCGTCAAGCCAGTTCCCCGACCCTTATCCATCCCCTCTGAGTTCTACTTTTCAGAAACTTAACCGCCAGAACTGCCAAGGCAACCCTTAAGTGACTTGCAAACCGGATCAACGACACCCCGAGTGACTCGCCACCTGACCAAAGACCCTTCCTCACCCAAGGAATAGACAGTCGCCCTCGGTCGCAGACAGCCACGAATGGGTTGGTCCTCAAACGCCACCTAGGCGTTGCCGACGAAGACGCCGGATTTCGTCGTGGGACGAGGACGCCCGCATACCTCTGTGAGGCGAGGACGCCCGCAATTCTTTGTGGGACGAGGACCGTGGACTAAAGTGCGGTGGGGGGAGTGACACCTCCCAAGAGCACCGTCGGGTCTGCAACAAAGGGAAGGTCCTGTCGGCCTTTTTTTGGACTAGCCAGTATTTTGCAGTCCGACCAGCCCGCCCCGACGGCCCACCGACGGTGTACTCTGGTCCACACGCTCATCATAAATAACAACTAACAAAAGCCTGGACCCAGCGAACTCTGCTATACACCCCACATTGGAAGCCGTTGTTACAGTCCATGCAAGTATTCGCACCCATCCTCACCTTCCGCCTTCCCAACTAACAGCTTCAAGAAGGCTTCCATCCTTCAGCCTTTTAGGGGGAGTCCCTTGTAGTGTACCGGAAAACAAGCTCTTTCAGTATTTTATAACACTGGATTTTACGGTTGTTTTAACCTTCAAAACATACACTTGTTTTATTGACGGCACATCCGTTGACACAAAGTGTTTTGGTGAGTATCTTACTGCACCGTTTCTCGCTCTGGTTGATTCGTTTCCTACTTTTGTAGCCTGCACAATATATGTTGAGTTCATTCCCATCCAACTTCTATCCTGTCCCGCATTTGCCACGTCTCTTACGTGCCTTGGATTACCGATTAGTATCCCAGGCTCCACCCAATAAGCTAAATATCTCATTGAGGTGGCATGTTCCAATGAAGTGTTGACGACTAGTGGCCGAGCGCCTGCTATCTTTAGCTTTATCTTGGTAGGTAACCTGGAGCGATGCTTCAAGCATTTATCCAATAGGACTACTACCATTTTTTCGGAGTCTAGTGTCACTTTTATTGCTGTTGGACCGCAGCCCTTGTAGTTTGGAGCTGAAGGAATTCTCGTCAGTGATTTGGCGATGACGTCGTCCAAATAGCGTGCTTCTCCGATGTAGCACCACTTCTCTAGTCATGTTCTTGCGCTTCGTGATCAGGAGAATCCGATTGTTCAGGAGTACCAAAAAACGGTTTTCTTGTTTTCGTTCGTAAAAAAGCCACCATGGTTTTTCTCCTTTGACCGCCATTTCCAAAGCATATTTGGTATTATCTTACCCTGCTCTATGAGTTGCGAAGACGAACTGCTGAGAGTAGGACTCTCTGTATCCTCACCTGAGTTCAGCATTACTCGACGAAATCGGGGTCCGCCGTGGTGCATTGCAGTCGAGTGACGCACTGCGCGTCTTAGTGCAGTGGACCAAACCCGAATACAAATCACGTGGCATGTAGAATTTCGTTGTTTGCGATCATCTACCAACTTGCTCTTCGTGGTGCCAGACCTGGACTCAGGAACATTAGTGTACACGACCGTTAACGCTCTGTGGTTCTGGTTAACTCATGTTGGTTTGAGTGTTGTGACTGGTAACTTGGATGGTTTAGCGGGCAATAAAGAATGGTGTGATAACAGCATCACATCGCTCGCGCTTAGTCCAGAAAATGGACGCACGCGTGTCTCTTTGGGAGTTTGTATCGAGGCGATCGATGCATATGTTACCTGGCTCTGGACTGTCTGCGGTGTGACCAATTGGTCAGATGTGGTATCTAGGGATGGGTTAATAGCTGTCACTCCGGGTGTGGCTTGCTCACTTAATGGGTTAGTACTTGTCGGGGTACGTAGAGGTTAGCAAGACTAACCTTAGCCTTCGAAATAGGGACAGAGCCATGAGATAGCACAAGATCGGGGTAGCTAGATTCTAATGGCTAAGTCCTGGGGGTCGCCGTTTGCTGGACTATTTCAGCTAGTTTTTCACACTTTTTCAAGAGCGATATTATACAATTGACTATTGGAATTACTCTGCATGTTTGGTAAAACTAGATCGAACCAGTCAGGTTGCTTTGTCTCTTATATGGTAGTTGAATTAAACCAGCATAGAGGGGGTGGAACGGAAGGCCGCGAAATACACAGGTAACGCCTCTTCTAACTAGGCGTACACACTTCTGCTTACAACATTTGCGGTTAGTGGCATCAGTTCCATTGAGGTCCATTGTTGCAAACGAACGCTGCCCTCGTCTGGTCACCTGAGATAAAGGGCGAGTGCCGCTCGCGTTCTTTGTTCCAGTTGTACTCTCGATGTCAGTTACCCTAGGTGAGTGTGGCACGACGAGGACACACGTACACGGAGCTTGGATTGCTTATTGATCCACACTGGTTTCTGTAGGACAAAGCCGTTGGAATTGGATTGTATTAGGTGGATGTTAGCGGCAAATGCCGGCGATGGGCGAATGCAATTAAAACCACAGATTGAGTCCTAACTGAGTTAGAAATGCCCCTATAGATGTAATTTTAGAACTACTCGAAGCGCGGAGAATCCTTGATCGAGCACAGTGTCACGGCAATGAAAACTGTTAACAACAACAGAGTGGTGCGTCTGGATAGAAGCATGAAGTGCGCGAAAACAACATGGGTAGCACAAACCAATTTCCGTAGAAAATACTTCCGTAAAAATATGCCCACTGAACACGGGGGTTTAATCCAATTCGAATAAGTTTCTGATGACTGCGCTAGGTGAAGAGGAAGATGTGAAACTCTGTGACAGAGGAGAGCACGTTTAATATGCGACTAGTCAGGTGAATGTTTCAAATATTCGCTCGATGTCTGGATTACTCAACTGTAATTCTACTAAGCATGGTCTCAACGCGGTCTAGTTTGTGACGGTTTTGTGGACTTGTGTCGGAGTGTAGTATATTTTCTGGGTAACAGCCCCGTCTGTAGTTCGTTACTTGCAGTGTCGCAGTAACAATTCTTTCGATTAGTACTATCATGATAAGCAGTTGGTTCTTGTCCTCGGATTCCGCCATGCAGTGTGTAGTTATGGAGCAACCTCTGTCCGCACCTGATGTGCATACACATATTGCCGACGCACATGATCCACTATTTTGATTCGTCATTGGAAGAGGACTACTTTGCAGAGATTGCAGCACGATCGGCACAGTGAGTTCTGATTTTTGAAATACCTTTGCATACCCTTTCACGTGCTCATAGAAGTATATTGATAAGTAAAAATCTAGAAGCCTGTCCGGATTTTCAGGCGATCTTTTACTGCCTGTCAGGAGAAAAGGTTCGACCAGCAAGCTCTTTATTGGTGGTATATCCTCCGATTAGGGAACTACGAGTGAATAGCACGAGAACTGGCCTCGGTTGGAGCGTCACGGCTCCTTGGTTTCGGTTGGAAAGACGATGAACACGTTTGGCTGGATACACTTGTTGAGATGGCTAGCAGCCGACCACAGTGGCTTTCCTGCTACGAGTTTCTTTGTCCCTCCCCTTCCCTTTTAGCCTCCCCCTCCACCTACGATCTCATTTCTTAGCCTAAAACATAATAATTTTTCTTTTTGCCTAGTAGCCGACTGGTAGCTTACCGGAACGTTGCCTATCCGTTGCTGGTAGCTCAGCTGGCATGCAACTTTTGTATTTATTTTCCTTTTTCATTTATGTATTGCGGCACAGTAGCTGAGGTGTTACCCACCTCTAGCTGCCGTGGATAATGATGATGACGATGACCTAGTGGGTTTGAATAAGCAATTTTACATCCGAAGCGATCGGAGTAATGTACTTGACGTGATCAGCAACTTTAATGAACATAACAGAACCCCAAGTTATGCTGAGGGCATGAAAAATTTGCTTTTGCTCAAGAACTTAGGGTCCTGGAGCTGAATAATGGTTGCCCAGTTACTTCCAACCGTCCCTCGGTCAACCCTGGTACCCCGTCACATTGACGCAAAGGGAGGATCGCAACGGGCATGTTCGGTTGGCCGCCTGGAAACCAAGGGTCCAACTGGGTTATTCAGACCATTGTTGACATTGACCTGGCACCGCTAGACACCGATTTTGTTCAGTTTATTTAGTTAGGGTTATTTGTGGGGGCATCCATGTGGCAAAACTCAGTCCTTTCGGGACAAACATTTATTCTGCAAAGTCAACTCAATGAAAATTATAGCATTCTTGGCAAGCCAAGCTTTTGGATATAAATTACACATTCATGTCCATAACTAAAGGCTTTTCTGAATCGCTGAGGTTCCTCTTTTGTTTCAATTAAACAAACGGTCAGTAACACACATGAACGTCGGCCAATCTGTGTCCAGTAATCGAATCCATTACATCCCTCTCTCATTGGCCGTCTGGCTCGCTCGGTTGGTCCATCCATTTATTCTGGTAGGACGATGCAATCGCAATCCACACATTTTGAAATGCAGTGAATGCGCATTTTGTCCTGCTCCGAGTAACTGTTGCTTCAAATTGCTTAGAAATAGGTGAAGGCGCGCCTGGCTACCCAGCCCCAATAGTACAAGTTGGCCGGATGTATGCTGGTAGTTTAACTAATATGACTGCGTTGAATCTGCTCAATATGGTTTACTTATATGTTCACTCGGAATGTGTTAATTTGCATATAAGTACCTCATTTCTATATAGGTTGTCGATTGTTACAAAACACAAAGTCAAAAAATGAAGCGCGTGGTTGGGACGCAAAACGTTTAACATCTGAATGCAAACAATGAATGCTGGGTCTTACTTTCAAGTTCGTCAGTTTTCCACTCATCTGTGGTATACTATACATGTGGTTCAATGCTAAGTTGAGGTCCATCAGTTTGGGAAATTGATAAAAGCTGTCTTTTGCAAGCAACTATTACATAGGTTTGAAAAGGAAGTTACATAACGACAACATATTTTCGGATGCGTCGATCTTCTTCACAGTTGAAAACTCAGTGCCCCATTCTACATCGTCATCCTCTAAGTTTAGGTCACAGATCTTCAGTTCTGTCAAAAGTTCAGTGGCAGTATTCTCGAACAAGCTTTTCTAAAAAAATTAAATAAGACAAAACTCACTAGTAATGCAGGAGAGAACTTTTGCGGTTCTTCAGATTTGATGGCAACACCTCTACGAACTGTCGGACTCTCTCTCTGTGGAGGTACACGCAGAGGCTTTTGACACCAACTATCCGTAATCCTGTGATTACCTTAAAGCATTTTAGCAGATTCTATTCACATACGTTCGCTATTAGCCTCCAGAGTTCGTCTAGAAGGAAAACCATTGAACAATGCCGATATGGGCATATTTAGTTTTCGTTGTCCGATTAGAATTATCAACCAGTTTAATGATGGTAAGGCTGTAAACAAGAAAGTAGCAAATATATGCTTTGCAGCAGCACAGCTTAGTATGTTTTAAAAAATGCTACGTAAGGGCAGCTGTTACATTTAGACTGCATGTAGAACATATTGTTCAGGTGAAAGCGTGTTTTCCTCATACTGAACAGCAATTAAAGAAAAAGAAAACAAGATTGAGTATCCTCATAATAGGTGGTCATGGCACACAGAACATTGGACACATTAAGTACTGTATCCGCTGTTAGCCTTTAGTTGATTAAGCGTTCCTTAGTTGTAACTAATTCGATAGTCCTAATAAACGATAATAACTTTTGGAAAATTCTAGTTTTCCATCTAGATAGTTCACATTTGATAAAGATGGGTATTTATAAAGCTATAATTTAAATTAATCCGAGAAGCTCAGCTGTATGTGTTAACTTTCACTCGCCCAAATTCCGTTACCTAGGAAATTATGCTAAATACTGAAATTTAGTGGTCCAATTTGGGAATCTACATCCTCAAGTAGCTACATTTGCATCGACCTGAACCTCAGCAGCTGAGCAGTGTATGTCAACACTTGCCAATGCTTGTTAGCAAAACCTAACTTATAGACCATGTGCTGAGCACCTTTTGAAGAATGAACACCTAAACGCCTTCAAATGGCTCAAGCAAAAAGAGAGTGTATTGGTACTAGGCCGGGATCTTTCTGCTGGCTAGGTGAGACTATTCCTTTTTGGGTCATGGAGTACCCACCGTGTGTCTGGGCTGTGACACGCAATCTCGATTGGGGCTACACTTTACTTTGAAGCAAAACTATACCATTTCTATCACTGGGTTCGCATCCAAAGTGGAGAGTTTTGCAGCTAATTTCTCCCAACACTGCACTGTTTGAAGAGAACGGGTCCGAAACTCTCCACTTCTGATGCGATCCCAGGTAGGACCATATTAGAAAAAAGGGAACCGCCATGAGTTGCAAGTCGATATTTCGGTTGTGAGTATCCAGCGCTGCAAGACTGGGACAAATGAGAAGTCTACAAAAAACGTCTGTTTTGCCGGAAACATGAGGATCGCTGACGTATTCGAATGCGCTAAATCAAGTAGAGCAGTGATTTTAAGCAGTTATGTCCTCTCCAAGATGCACAAGAATGAGCTAGCGCTAGGACCAATAATGAAAATGTGTACCTCGCTGTACCTCTTAATCACTAAGTGGTTTCTCATACTACTGGAGCCAGTTAGAAAAGCCCATTCTAGCTACAGCATCGTGGGCACTTTTGACATTCTCGACATGGCTAGTCAACTCGAAATGACCAAATGGATGTATTACCCCTGTTCATCAACGTTCTGTTAGAGACAATGGGTAATCTATGAGAATTCATCCAGCCGCATCACACCAACATTTGTATTACACAAGACGGATTTAGTCATTTATTGCAGACGGGAGACAGAAACACTCAACTCCAGGTTAACAGAACGATCTACGAGCGAAGACAGGTGGACATGATTCTCTACTAGATAGGTTACCTGTGGACTTCTTTATGAACACGATAGATAAATGTTAGTTGGACAACACTATTAACGGCTTGGTGGGTTACGACTAGTAAGTAGCTGACATATTTTATTGCGGCCGGTAATCGAATGTGCACCTAAGATCTACTGGTCAACTTTAACTATGCACATAGAAACTTATCTTTTGCTATCGAACTGAATCGTAACGACTCATTGGCATATTTAGATATCCAAATCAACAGAAATGTTGAGTTGCAACCATAATTAGTTGCGGACGACCTGAAACTAGAATATTGTGGAAATCCCTGGGGTTCCTGAAACTCTTCAGCTGGCTCTGGATAGACTCTGGAAATGGTCCAACTTGTGATTGTTGTCTGTAAACTGGACAAAGTGTCCAGTGCTGCGTATCCGAACGGCTGATACCTTCACGGGTTTCGCCGTCTATGCGAGTGAAATTCTTCGCGTGACTCATTAAACTGATCTAGGCGGCTCCCACTGTTACACTTCTCACTTTGGCGACAACTGGAAAATGACAGCTAACAAAGGGTACGGTATCTTGTGGTTTGTCCGACGTTCTTTAGAGACCATAACAGCGTTTTTGTTTCTTAAATCCTTCTTGGCATTCGTTCGGTCCCGGCCGAGTGGTCTGCGCACCTGGTTTGCAACCATAAGATCCCCGGTTCGTATCCAAGTAGAGGTAGACCACTTCCCGGTATACGCAGCCCATGATATCGCCTCAGCGGGCGCAACTCACTCTCGATCGTTTGGCTGTTGAAGTATCTAAGTATGGCATGAGCTTCGCACCATCGAAGTGTTAAGTACTGCTCAAGGATTGGGCTTTCACCTGCTCCCTTGCTCACTTTCGAAGATGCACAACTTGAACAGGTAGATAGCTTTGTCTAACTTGTGAGCTGTGTTTCTGATGACGGCACCATCAGCAAGGAAGTTTCTCTTCGGATCACCAAAGCCCGATCAGCATTTATCAAGCTGAGGCACTTGTGGCATCATCGCGACGTCTCATTCTCTCTAAAGAGCCGCATTTACAGCGCATCTGTTCGCCCAGTATTGCTGTATGGGGGCGAGTCCTGACCGGTTCGTGTGGAAGACATGCGTCATCTTCCTGCCCTCGACTACGGTTGCTTAAGAAAGCTTGCTCATGTTTGGTGACAACATCGAGTTAACACTAATGAGGTTCGACGTCGCATCTTGGGGAATGCAAGTATTTCCTTCAATAAACTGGATTTGCTGCTACAGTTCAGATAGCTCGGTCACATCCTACGCGCGTCCTACCGTCTCGCGCTCTATTCGCTCTTCAAGGACCTGGCTGGAAGCGACCGTCTTGTGGTCAGCCTTCCATTTGCCGAGAACATATGAAACCGCGGACGTCGTACTAGCCGCTGTTGGACCCGTACATCTTACAGGACGGGGACGCAAAGATGAGGAGTGCCAATGGTTTAGCACTCTTGAAGATATGGCCAGTAAACGGAATCAGTGGAAGAATTGTGTACAGAATTGCACTGATTCCCATGCTTAATTCTTCAAACATTGAAAATGAAAAAAGAGAAAAATCAACATGGGAAAAATAAACTAATAATATTCTGTTCTAGTTTTTGTCACAGTATTCCTTTCTTCCTACGGCAGCGTAGCTGAAGGGTGTTGCCAAACTTAAACTAGTGTGCACGATGATCAAGACGCGGTGACTTCTGCTTATCTGTTAAGCTGCATGGCTTTGTTGGCTTTAAGTCTAATTGCTAGAATGTTAATGTGTTTGGCGGCATCCGGTTTCGGATTTGCCTGTCACACTGACCAGCCACAGGACGCCTGCGCCTACAGAGGGACCATGGATGGCTTGCGCTGCACCACCCACAGCTCCACCCACATACCCCATATCCAGTGTAAACCCGAAGGAATAAGACCGGGAGGCATGCGGATGGGAACCACGTTTCATCAACGGAGCCGGCCCACACTCCTTCACAGGCAAACACAAGCATACTGTATTTGGGAATCAAGCGCACACAAGGCGGTGGCTGGACCGTAGTCCGCTCGACACTGAGTGAATGAAACCACTCTTCGAGCCTAGCACGACTACAAAGATCGGGTACTCCGTCCCCTCCAGCAACGATCAAGTGTCTCCTGGCGCCAGGATGGACGAGGTAGTGGGTAATAGACAGGTAGGCACCTTGTCAACATGCACATCAAGCGCAGACACAATGGGGATGTCAAACAACAGCCAATCATTCGAAATGCCGATATCAAATGAAAGATGTCGAATAAAGTAAACGTAGGTAATGACATAAATACTTGCTATATGCGCATATGGAGTAACTTGGTTATAGGCGAATTCACGATAAGTACAAAATGACCGAAAGTTATTTAAAAAATACCACGTGATAAAGTTACGCAAGATTATCACAATTAACTTGAGCGACGTGTGCAATTTAGGAGAAGATTATCAGGTCCGCCGAACTAACCAAAGAAAGTGGAATGAAATTCCTCCAGTTCAAAAAGACGTAGTTTAATTGTTAGTTGGTTTAGCCCAACTGCGGTGAAGAAGCATCATGAATGCAGCATCAGCCTCTGCATGGAACACAGGGGGTAGATATATATACATACATGTTTGGATGGATCCGCTTTCGGATTTGCATGTCAATCTGGCCAGTCACAAGATGCCTGCGCCTACAGAGGGACCATGGGTGGCTTGCGCTGCACCACCCACAGCTCTAACGACACATCACATATCCAGTGTAAACCAGAAGGAATAAGACCAGGCGGCATGTGGATGGGAGCCATGTTTCACCAACGGAGCCGGCCCACACTCCTTCACAGGCAAACACAATCATGCTGTATTTGGGGAATCACGCGCACACACAAGACAGTGGCTGGACCGTAGTCCGCTCCACACTAAATGTATGGAACCACTTTTTGATCCTAACACGGCAACAAGAACCGTGCACACCGTCCCCTCCAGCAACGACAAACTGTCTACTGGCGCCAGGATGGACGAGGTAGTGGGTGATAGACAGGTAGGCACCTTGTCAACATGCACACCAAGCGCAACCACACCGGGGATATCAAGCAACAGCCAATCACTTGAAACGACAACATGAAATAAAATAACTCGATTAAGGCATATAGATACGGTGACATAACTTCACTAAATGAGCATGTATAAAAAATTGGATAGGAACGAATCCGCGGTAAGTTCAAGTGGTCAGAAAATATATCTTAGGGAGTGCCACAAAGTCGAAAAGGTTCTCGAATTTAACTAAAATTGGCTTAAGCGACGTGTGGGACTTTATGGAAGAGAGTACTGGTTGACATATATATGAAAAAGAAAAGCATTAGGACAAAATTGCAAATCCACCAACTGAAATAAAGAGATTTAGCATGCAAGCACGCTGTTAGTAAATCGAATGCAGCGTACCTACAAACGCTGCGCCGGTTCTGCCTACGTTCTCTGCAGG